TTTTTGTGAATATCATTTATTTTCTCTGCTCTAACTTGACCTACTTTTTTTAAACGATACGTCAAATGACTACAATTCGTATCTAGTTGAAGATATTACCCTCAAAAATTGAAAAAAATATTCTAATTTATCAATTACATGTTCTCCATAAAGACAATTAAATCATTCATTTCTAATGTTTTCAAAGTATTTATTGACGAATCAAGTTTGATATGATAGGTTTCAACTACAAAATTAAATTATTTTACTTTGTAATTTAATAATTTTTTACAAATATAATCAAATTTTATAATACGCTCAATCGAGTATATTTTTTTAACAACTTTGTTTTGATTGGTTCATTTAGTTAAAGTAAATCATTAAAATTAATTAAGTTCTGAATATTTCAATTGCAGAATATTTTTAAACACCAAAAATTAATTATAAATGATTACTATTATTTCTATTTCAGTTATCTATTACGATAAAAAAATTTTTCTGATAAATGTATTGTAAATAGTAATTCTAAAATTTCCTGAATGCATATTAATCTTAACAATTTCATTTATTTCTATTTAATAATGTCAATTTCAAACTTATAAGTTGAACTATAAGTTATGGTAACATATTAATTTTTTTTTTATTAAAATCTTCACTTTAAAGGACAAAAAAAAGTAGGTTCAAAATGATTACTTTTAACATATTAAAAATCAAAATCAATAATATTTTGAAAACAATTAATTTTAAAAATTATATAATTTATAATTAAAAGAATTACTAATCAGGGCATTAATAAGGAACTAGCAGATCATGTAACTTTTGTAATTATCCATCAATTTCTCAGAATTAAACACTATCTACAGATTTGCATTGAAGCGTTTCTTATGATAGTGATTTTAATCACTGTCAGATTAAATCTATACTGGATCTAACTATGAAACATCCCCACTATGCCGTGACCCCACTGTGCTGGGTTTTTTTTCTTCTTTTTCTCTCTGTTCCCCTTTAATTGTAGTCGAGGTTTTTGACCGTTCGGTTTTTGACTCGTATTAACTTTATTTTTTTTTTTGTTTTTAATAAAGTCCCCTTAATTTAACTCAACTATCATTTTATTTTTTTTTGCGTGTTCCATCTTCAATGGACTAGTGTATTTTTTTTTTATCTTTTTTCCTTTCAAAAATCAACTTTCCTTATTATTATGGTTATGTGACAACTGTCACGAGGTTTTGGTGTACATCTACTATCAACGACTCAACGGACATCGACTTCAATCTGTAATACTTTTCTATTTATTTTAAAATTGTTTTTAATGTACAAAATTTAATTTCTTTTTAAAATCCTACTGTGGTCCGACAATTCATTGTTTCGCCTAGTAGGTTGGCGACCCTTTTCTTTTTAATTTTTCAATGCGCCATTAAAGTTACACATTTTTCATTGTGGCCAATTAATTCAATTTTTTTTTTATATAATATTTGTAAACTTTCAAGTAGTTTTTGACGTTTTTTTACTTTTTTTCTTAAAACTTTCTTAACTTTTTCAAAAATAAACAAATCAACATAATTTTTTTGTATAGAAAATTTAGGTATTTTTCTTTCATTTGATAGATTTATTGAAAACCTGACTATATACCTGCCCACAGGGCATATTCAAAATAGCAATTTTTTTACAAAATGTTAAGTTTTGCTTTTGAAATAAACCTTCAATTTCATAAAATGAACACTATCTTCAGATTTGCTTCGAATTATTTCTAAAATAGTGACTGTAAGCACTGTCAGATATCATCTGTACTGTTCCTAACTATTATATTTCTTACACATCCTTTAAGAACAGTTTTAATTTACGTTAAAATAATAAAATAAATTTATATTATAGTGTTCTGCCAATGAATATTTAGCTATTAATTTCAACTTGTGTATGAATAGGTTGACTAAAAATAACAATTTTTTAAGGTAAACTTCATCAATATTTACACTAAATTCTCTTCAAATTAATAACTATAAATAAAAAATCAATTATTTGGGTGATTGTGTATATATAAATCAATATAACCAAAAAATTATCATATGTTACTTAGAACTTAATATTTCTAGTAAAAATGGAGGTGAGTAATAGACTTTGCTTAAGTGCTTGATTTAAATCTAAAATACTATTATATTTTATTGTAGAATTGGCTAATAATATCACTTTTGTTGATAATAGTGTGTTTAATATTAAATGAAGGTAAATTATATTTTACATAATTTATTTCTATTAAGTTTGATATCTATCCATTTTATTTTTTATTTTGTTTAATTCGATACATACAGGATTAATTTAAGATTTGCTATGAAGCTGTTGATTATTGCAATAATACCGGAGAAAACATATTTCGCCCAGTAAAATGAACACCAAATTATTGATGAATTTTTATTTTAAATCCAAATATCTAAATAACAGTCTTAAATTTTAGAAGAATAGTCAGATGTATAAATAAAATTTTTAATTGTTGTATATGTTATCCATTTTTTTATATTGAAACATTAGGTATTTTCTTTTCATTTGATATAAATTTTGTGAAAACTTTACACTTTACCTGCCCACAAAGTGGAATTTGAAATAGCAACTTTTCACAAAAGTTAACTTATTTAACATAACTTTTGAAAATTTTCAGGAAATAGTGCGTCTTTTAAAGAAATATTAAACTAAAGCTCGCATTACTAGTAATTAAAAAAAAAAAAAATTGTTCCTTACGACTATCTGCTACGCGCAAATGGTTTTCGTAGATAAAAACATACTATTTTTGTGTTTGAAAATTTTCCATCTTACATTTTCAACTTTAAATTGCTAGAATTTTTTGAAAAATATGTCGATAAACACAAATTTTTTTTAAATGCATTATATATAACCTTTTTATCCAACATACCTTTTTTTAAGCGGGCCATTTTTCCATATAGAGGGTGTGTTTAATACTTGAAATTTAACTTAACTTTTAACTAAGTTAAGAAAAACAATTTGAATTTTTGAACTAGATCAAATTGTCCTTATTAGTCAATTAGGCGTGTTTTACGCTATCCGTGTGGTACCATCACTGTCTTTCACGCTAAGTGTACTAAGTTCGAACTCTGCTTGTGAAAATATCTCATTTTGCATTTTATTTTAAATTCTTTTTAAGGTGGAATAAAATTTAGAGTTCATTTGATTTTTATCTCATTTAGATTGAATATAGAGGACCCCATCACTTTAGTCTCCACTTGAGAAGCGATTTTTTATTCTTATTAATATATTTTACTATACATTGGTTTTAATTAATTAATTATAAGGATTACGCTACAATTTCATTTATATGTGAAACTTTTTTGTGTTAGACCATGTCAAATAAAATTGAATGTTTATATTAAAGTTACTAAGATGACTCAATGTTAAGCAACATTTTTATATAAATAATTTTATTTAAAATTTGTACAATTTATCTTAATCGATGAACTATAGTTTGAATAAAACATTTTCAAAATTATCCGAATACATATTTTTAAAATTATTTTAAATTTGTGTTTTTCAAATAAAATTATATTTCAATAAATTTACTTTGTTTGTTAATTAAAAATATAAATTTAATAGAATTACACACCATGTGTTTCAATGTAATTGCTTTATTTCTAAATGTTAATAAAAATCAATTTATTAGTTTTACTTAAAAAAAGGAATAATATAAATAAAATATTATTAAAATAATTACTATTTTATAATGAATAGTATAATTTATGAGTATTTTTAATTATTTACAATTAAAACTCGCATAAAAAATTGTATGAATAAATATATCATTTAGGTATATTATTAAAAATTTTAATAAATTATTTTAAATATTTTGATATAATTTAATTTTATGTCCAAAGTTAGGTGGTAACGCCTGCACATATCATTAGAATAAAAATTTATTCAAATAACATTTTGTACTCAACTATATGCATTTAATATACACTAATACTATGAAAAATAACTCTATTAACATAAGTGTTCCGATTAAGAGACCCAATTTATTAAAGTAATATTACATTAAGAGTATTTTTTGGTCTTTTTAATTACAAAATGATTCAACTTTATATTTTTATAGAAAATATATCATGTTTTTTTTTAATAACGATATATCCATTTATGCCATTTATAATTAGTCGAAAAAAGGGACATGACAAAAAATTATAACTTGCGCATAACCTTAAGACCAATTAAATTTTTTAATAAATCTAAAATCAAAAATTGTAATTGATATGTCTCTGTCTTAAATAGATAAAATTTTAAGTATTAACACTGCAAAAGTTGATTAATAATTCTGTTTATTTAGCAATTCAAAATAAAAATTCGGATAATGAACAAATATACCAATTTGAAGATGGTACGACGAGAAAAGCTGCAGAAAATGGAAACTTGGAGTTATTAAAATATGCTTTTGAAAATGGTTGTAAATGGGATGAAATCACAACAAGAGCTGCTGCTGCTAATGGGTATTTAGAATGTTTAAAATATGCACATGAAAATAAATGTCCGTGGGATGAAAGCACAACAGAAGCAGCTGCAGATAATGGTAATTTAGAATGTTTAAAATATGCTCATGAAAATGGCTGTAAATGGAATCCACATAACATTGTGAAAAGTGCTATTATAAGAGGCGATCTAGAAATTTTAAAATATGTCCTTAATAATGGATTTCAATGTGATAAAAAAATATATTATATGGCTGCCATCAATGGTAATTTAGAAAATTTTAAATATTTGCATGAAATTGCATGTCCTTGGGATGAAAACACAACAAAAATAGTCGCATATTATGGTCATTTAAAATGCCTAGAATATGCACATAATAATGGATGTCCATGGGACGAGAGTACACCTTATGTGGCTGCCAAAAAAGGTTATTTAAATATTTTAAAATATGCGCATGAAAATAAATGCCCATGGGATGAAAGCACAATATATGCAGCTGCTTCTAACGGTAATTTAGAGTGCTTAAAATATGCCAGTGAAAATGGATGTTATTGGGATGAACGTACAACTATTGCGGCTGCTATAATTGGTAATTTAGATATTTTAAAATATGCACATGAAAAAAAATGTCCATGGGATGAACGCACAACAGATGCAGCTGCTTCTAGCGGTAATTTAGAATGCTTGAAATATGCACATGAAAATGGCTGTAAATGGAATCAAAATATTATGGAAAAAGCATTTTTAAAGGGTAATCTAGACGTTATAAAATATATTCATAAAAATGGATATATATGGGACGAAGCAACTCTGCGTAATGCTGCTGCAAGCGGTTGTTTCGATTGTTTGAAGTATGCCCACGAAAATGGATGTGATTGGGTTGAAGGCACAATTCGAGCTGCCGCAACAAGTGGTTGTATTGAATGTTTAAAATATGCTCACGAAAATGGATGTATTTGGGATAAGGGTACAACTAAAGCCGCTGCAGCAAGCGGCTGTTTAGGCTGCTTGAAATATGCTCATGAAAAGGAATGTAATTGGGACGAAGATACAATAGCTGCAGCAGCTTTGCATGGTAAGTTAAATTGCTTAGAATATGCCCGTGAACGTGGATGTGATTGGGTTGAAGGTACCATAAGAGGGGCGGCAGCAAATGGACATATAGACTGCCTAAAATATGCTTATGAAAATGGGTGTCCCTGGGACGAAGGTACAACAAGAGAAGCTGCTGCGAGTAATTATATTAAATGTATAATATTTGCCTATCAAAACGGATGCAAATGGAATGAAGGAACAACGAGTGGTGCTGCTGCAAATGGTCATTTAGACTGCCTAAAGTATGTTCATGAAAATCAATGTCCATGGGACGAAAGCACAACGAGACTTGCTGCTGCAAATGGTGAAATTTTTTGTTTAACTTATGCTCATGAAAATAATTGTCCTTGGAGTAAAGGTACCATTTCTGAAGCTATTCGAAATGATTATACTTATATCATTAGCTATGCTACTGAAAATGGCTGTCTTAATTAATGTTCTATTGAAATATCATAATTTTTATTATTATTTTTAAAATAAATTATCTGGATCTGATTTATCTTATATAATTAGTACTTAAAATAATAATAAAAAAAATATTCTCGAAATTTTTTTGTTTTTTTTAATAATTATGTCCTTTTTTTGAATTTGTAATTTACTCAAAAAAGTGTTATAAACTGTCTATACAGTCAGTAATTATTAGTAAAATAAAAAATTGCAGATAAATGTAAAATTTTGTGGAAGTTGTCGGATTTATAATTCTAGCAATAAAATGTTTTAATATCAATGATAAAAAAAAAAAAAAACGGTAGCACAGTGGGGTCGAGGCTCAGTGTGGACGAGGCATAGATGGGACAAGTTAAGATGATATCTGACAGTGATTAAAATCACTATCATAAGAAACGCTTCGATGCAAATCTGTAGATAGTGTTTTCTTTAGAGAAATTGGTGGAATATTCTAAGAGCAACATCAACTCTTATTCCTTTAACTATATCCTGATTAGTAGTTCTTTGATTTTAAAATATAATTTATGAATAAATACTAATTATAGTTTTTAAATTTAGTATGAAATTGTGAGGCCAGCTATGATGTATGGTTAATAGTGTTGGGCGGTTGATAAGAAAGTAGAGCAGAGAATAAGTGTAGCAGAGATGAGAATGCTTAGTTGGATGAGTGGAGTGACTAGAGAAGATAGGATAAGGAACGAGCATATAAGAGGAAGTATAGGTGTTGCGTCAATCGTGGATAAGATGACAGAAAATAGACTTAGATTGTTTAGTCATGGTATGAGGAAAGAAGAATCGAAAGCTGTAAGAACAGTTATAGAAATGAATGTTGAAGGAAGAAGAGATAGAGGAAGACCAAAAAAGAGATGGAGGGATGCTATTGAATGCGATTTGATGACAGCTGATGTGAGCGTAGAAGATATGGGAGATCGTGTCAAGTGGAAGCTTAGGATAAGTGTGGCCGACCCCAATTAGTTGGGATTAAAGCAAAGAAAAAGAAAAAGATTACCAGAAATTCCGGTGGCAATTGACATAATATGATTGTAGTTTCGGAATGTACAATTTAGCGTTTAGTTGGGTTTAAACAATATAGCGTCAAATCAATTCCCGTTTCGCTGCGCTACAGTGTCGGTGTGATCGGGCTCTACGGGGCTACGAAACGTCGGCACGAGCGCAGTTTCCCTAGCTCTGGGAATCGGGCGCGTCCTCAGGTTGCGGATAGAGGAACGGCCTGCAGATATGCAGGTTAGCCGCGAAATAAGCAGTCCATTAATTTAGACTGACGAATAAGCGGTTGCGGACAGCGAGCCGCCCAAACGCTTGTTAACCCTGTAGATATACAGGGTAGCCATGAAATAAGCGTTTTGGACGAATAAGCGGTAGCGTTTGGGTGAGAATGGAGCGATTTGGACCACGCAACCAGTGAGCTAGCCACTCACTGGCCGAAGGGACCGGCTTTGAGGGCAGCCCCCTCACAAAATTATTTTTATGAATAATGGACAATGACAAGAAAACGGTTACTGCATCAGGGGTATCGGATGCTCCAGTGCCGGCGGTTGGTGGGGGGCGTACCCACCAGGTGTCGTTTCGATCAATCGAATACGCGTCAAATGCAGGAGTGTTGAGGCAGGCTCCTGCAGCCAACCACAGTGTTGGGGTTGGTACTGCCATTGGCGACTGGAAACTTGGGAATATTGGACTCTGGACTTGACAAGCTGAATGCGACCACACCTTTGGGTGCTCCAGCGAAGCCCTCCATAATGGAGAGGCTGCTGAGTTCATCCAAGGTGGGGTCAAACAACTCGGCACCATCGCGCACTTTACCTGGTGGACTCATAGGAGATGAAACGGCTGGGGAAGATGACTCTCTTCGCGGGAAGAGGAAGGAGGTGTCCCCAACGGCGGATGGACCGGAGGAGGTCACGTTGGACGACACCCCTCCGGATGCCCCAATCCTAATGATGGACACCCCCCGAAGAGCGCCTGAGACCAAAAGAAGGAAACGTTTATGGGGAACGAGGGAATTTTTTTCAATTTTTGAGGGTAATGTCTTCGACTAGATACGATTTGTGATCTTTTGACATATTGTTCATCAAAATCGATCCAGCGAGAGCTGAGATTGAGCATTCACAGACACAATAAAAAAAAAAAAATAATAAAAAATAAAAAAAAAACACATCATAGTAAAATTAATACCTTTTCAGCTTCGCATCGAAGCTAAAAAATTGTATATAAATTAAACTGTTATAATTTTTTTTTCTAAAAAAAAATGTGTTAGTAACAATTCTTATGTAATTATACATTTTGTTTCTACTCTTTTGGTGGATTATTCCAAAAGCTACATGATCTCCTATTTCCTTAATTATATCCTGATTACAATTTTTATGATTTATAAGTGTAATATATATAAATAATATATAAATATATTAAGAGAAATGGTTTTATTAAAAAAAAAAATATGTCGAATGAAATATGTGTACATTTTTTAAAAAGTTGTATAAATATAAAGTTAATTGTGTAAAATAAAATTGAGATTTTTATAAATAGCATTGGGTAGCAATTTTCACCGTGAAGACAAAATAAAGTGCAAAATTTTTTTATTCATAATAAAGTATATTACATAAACTTTAATTTAAGGTATATATAAAAGTGTCAGTATTTGTAGTTTAGTAAACACAATTATGACAATCAATGTTGTATGTGGTTGACATGTAAAGCATACAAAAACATTAGGTATTTACATTTCATTTAGTAAGTTTTTTATGAAAATTTGAACATTACCTGCCCACAAGAAGTGTTTTAAATGGCCACTTTTTTTTACAAAAAATTAACTTTTTCAACTTTACTTTTGAAAGTCTTCCGAAAATCTATTATTAATAAAATATTATTATGATATTGAAATATCTTAAGTGAAAGCTTATGTAATTAAATTTAATATGAAAAAAAGAAATTTCGAATTTTATTTTGTCTTCATGGTGAAAATTGCTACCCAATGCTATTTATAAAAATCTCAATTTTTATTTTACATAATTAACTTCATATTTATATAACTTTTCGAAAAATGTATGGATTAATACACTTTTTTTATGGGAAATAGTGTTTATACACATATTTTATTCGACATAAAAATAAAACTATTTCCCTTAATATATTTATATATTATATATATATATATATTACACTTATAAATCATAAAAATTGTAATCAGGATATAATGGCTACCGTGTGCTATTTTTGTGTTAAAATTCTCGATTTTATATTTTATATTTTTAACTTTATAATGCTATAAGTTTTTGAATAATGTATGGATCAAAATGATTTTTTTGTATAAGTACTTTTTATAATCACCTTTCATCCGATAAAATTTTATTTTTAAATAGGATAATTTTCCTTCACACAGCAGTCGTTAAAACTTGAAACACGCTAATAGAAACTAGACGTTTTTCCACTTAATTTTTAAAAATGTTTCGGAAATACTGATACTTGCCCTCACATTTGTCAAATTTTTATTGGTACGTGCAGTTTTTGCGGCTATAGCCATAGGCCTAACAGTTCTATTATTGTGAATCTGTCGTCTTTTGTGAGGTTTATTCTACTTTGATCCTTTTGCGTAAGATATTAAAAATGTTACTATTTCCTTTTTTGGAGTCTTTATCGACAAAAATTAGGGTCAAGTGAGTTTTTGTTAGCTGATGCTTGATTTCGGTGACATTAAAAATGAGCTTTTTATCGGCCTGCAACAACAACGTGGTTTGCTACTTGCATATGGACTAGTTATAGTAGCAAGGGTCGCTACCACCTAGGCCTGGTGTCACACCTATCAGATATGATTACCGGATCATAGGTGGAATTTAATATTAAGTTAATTGATAGTTTAATTTAAGTTAATATGTCATTATATAAATTGCTAAATGCAGAAAAGGGCACATGTCCAATATTTTTCAAAAATCACTTTATTGCATAATCGAATTTAATGTTGAAAAATACATGGTTTTGTGCAGACGAGGCTTTAGAAGACTATGTAGAACTTACTTTAAAATCATAAAGAAACCCCGAAAATTTTTCAATGTTCCTAGTTGATAAGTATGATAAGTTGATAAGTATGATTTTATGACTATCAAATGTGGTTTCTACATTTCTATATTAAAAATACTTACCCATATGAATGTTTAAGCCGTAATAAAACATTTAAACAACGTTGTACAATTGAAAAATTTTTAATTTCTAAGTACCATTATTTTGAATGTGTATCGGAAAAATGTGGAATAATTAAGGCAAGTGAATTTATTGACGGAATAATATCATATCATTTTAAATTGAAAAAAAACAATGCAATGCCCATACAGTAACCAAAAACACTATTNATCATTTTAAATTGAAACAAAACAATGCAATGCCCATACAGTAACCAAAAACACTATTTTATATTTCAAGCTTACCAATTATTGAAAGCAAAATGAAAGAATTGAAGCAACTAGCGTAATATATTCCAGAGCTAGCATTTCAATAATTTTGGAATTTTATATTTTTGCTACAAAATAAGATACCTCAGGCAAGGCAAAATAGAACATAACATATTTCTATAATTAAATTTCTAGTTATTTAAAATATATTAAATATTTGTGACTCAATATTAGAATATATTTACTAAAATAGCATTTTTTTAAATTACAGCAGCATTCAAATGTAAAAGATAAGTCGTCGGGACAAATTTTTTTTAATTTATTGTATGTAACAAAAACTTTAATTTAACATATGTTTAAAGGACCCAGTATTTACGTAACATTTTTAAAACTTAAGTTAAAGAAATTAATTTTTTATACGTAATTTTTAAGTTTTGAACGTCCCCTGTCTAAGGAGAAATAGTTTGATTTATGTATTTGTATAAAAGGACTACATATAATGGATTTCTAAAAAAAAATCGTGTTAATCCATACATTTTTCAAAAAGTTATAGCAATTTAAATTTGAAAATAAAAAACTACAAGTCGATAGCACTTATGTATTTCACGCTTGGGAATGAATTTTTTCTTTATGAGTTTGAAAAATGTTTTATTTCATTTGATTTTCATTTCATTTAAATTCAATAACTTCAATAAATATCAAGGACCTTATCACTGTAGTCTCCTCTGTAAGAAGAAATTTCTTATTAAAATTACTTTAATTTGGTTTTTTTTTTTTGGTCCTTTATTTTCTCAGCTCTCACTTAACTAATTTTTATTAATAATACGTCAAATTATCACAAATCGTACCTAATTGAAGATATCCCTGAAAATTAAAAAAAAATCCCTTCTATCAAAGCTCTCGTACACCGTAAATGAGGGAAATCCCCCAAAAAATTATGATTATTAAATCAGTTTATTTTTTTCCTAAAGATTGCCATAACTTATTGAAAAATGACACAAATCAATATAATTATTTTTAGCTTCGATGCGAAACTGAGAAGGTATTAGTTTTACTATGATGTATTTTTTTTTATATATATTTAAACCGTAAATAATTCTCTTATATTTGATAAAATATTGTTGAAAATCTAACCAATTACCTGCCCACAAGAAAAGATTCAAAATAGTAACTTTTTCACAAAACTCAACTTGACTTTAGCAAATGCCCCGGACATATTATAACCTTTACACAAATTAAAGCTTATGTTATGTACTATAAAAAAAAAAATGTTCTGACGACCTACATTTTTTATGCAAATGGGTGCAGTAGTTCAGAAACATGCTATTTTTGTGTTCAAATNATCCTTTACACAAATTAAAGCTTATGTTATGTACTATAAAAAAAAAATGTTCTGACGACCTACATTTTTTATGCAAATGGGTGCAGTAGTTCAGAAACATGCTATTTTTGTGTTCAAATTTTATTTTTTGTTGTTTATTTTAAAATATTTTATAAGGGTTTATCATAGTATTGTGTCCAACCATTTTTATAAAAGTTACATAAATCTAACTGACATTAAATATAAATCTTATTTTTCTACCTCTTCTTTTTCCTCGCCTTAATCTCAACTATACCCAAAACTTCCACTTGACACTATTTTCTATATCACCTACACTCACATCAGTCTTTCTCATATTGCATTCAATAACATTTCTCCATCTCTTTTTTGGTCTTCCTCTACCGCTTCTTCCTTCCACATTCATTTCTATAACTATTCTTTGAGCTTCCGATTCCTCTCTCCTCAAAACATTACTAAACCATCTAAGTCTATTTTCTCTCATCTTATCCACGATTGACGTTACACCTATACTCCCTCTTATATGCTCATTCCTTATCCTATCTTCTCTACTCATTCCACTCATCCACCTAAGCATTCTCATCTCTGCTACCATAATTTTCTGCTCTACTTTCTTATCAACCGCTCAACACTCTGAACCATACATCATATAACTAGTCTCACTACAGTCTTGTAGAATTTACTTATAAGCATCATTGGAATTTTTTTATCGCATAAACACACCAGACACTTCTCTCCACTTCAACTATCCATACTTAATCCTGTGTCTTACATCTTCATCATAACCACCGCTTTTTTGCACAACTCATCCTAAATACTTATAACTTTCCACCTCTCTAATCACGTCTTCGCCTATTGTCACTGGTCTCCTCATTTCACCTACCTCAAAATCTCCTTTTTCAAACTCATACTATATATAGTCTGTCTTACTCCTACTTATTCCTAAACCCTTTTCTTCAAGAGCTGATCTACACACATCTTGCCTTTGATTAATTTCCTCCCTGATTTCTCCTATTAACACTATATCGCCAGCAAACAACCAGAACCACGGCACCTCTCCTTGTATTTCTCTAGTAATATCATCCATCACTAGAAAATAAGTAAGGGTTTAAAGAAAAACCTTGATGGACTCCTACTCTGACCCAAAATCCTTCTATTACTCCTCCCACACGTTTTACCATAGTACAAGTGGCATCATATATATTCTCTATTATATTAATATATTTTTTTGGTACTCATTTTCTCATTAATAGCTAATTTAAAATCTCTCTCGGTACCATACACAGATTTTTCTTCTTTTCCCTAAAATATTCTATTAGTTGCTTCACACAAAATAATGTATCCATTTATAGCATACCAGGCATAAATTCAAACTGATTTTTAGATTTTAGAACTGATTTTTGTCTCATTTATTATTCTCTTCTCTATTACCTTTTCCCAAAATTTCATACTATGATGCATCAGGTTTATGCCTCTATAATTTCCATACTCCTGTATGTCAACTTTAAATATCGGCACCACAATACTATTCCTCCATTTATTTGGAATTTTCTCATATAATAAGATTTTATTTAAAAGTTCATTCAACCATCTTATGCCAACACCGCCTAATATTTTCCATACTTCTACTAGCACTTCATTTGGTCTTACTGCTTTATTCTTCATCATTGATTCTACAGCCTTCCATATCTCTTTCTCACTAATTAAATCTACCAGCCCCTCTTTCCGCGAGATATCCTCTAACGTCTCTTTTGGGTACTCCTAATTAAGTTATTTTTCAAAATACTCTTTCCACCTATTTTTAATATAATCTTCACTCGAGATTACCTTATTATCAACACTTTTTATACATATTATGATAATCTTTAGACCTTTTCTCTATTACTTTTGCAAATCTATAGATTTCTTTCTCGCCTTTTTTTGTTCCTAACCTATCATACAACTCATCATACCTCTTAAACATCGCCTTACTTACTGCACACTTGCCTTTTTTGCACATGCGTTTATACTCTATCCAATCTTCTCTCATTTAGTTCTTTTGTCATTCTTTGAATTATTTTTTCTTACTTTCTATGATTTTTTAACGTCCTCATCTCCTCACCAGGTTTACTTGTTTTGTGGCATTCTATTCCTACTTTCACCAACAATCTCCTTTGCAGTATTCTTTACACAACTAGCAAATCTATTCTACACATCATTTATGCCCCCCTTAATATTCCACACTGTCCTCACTTTTACCGTCTTGACAAACTCTATTTCATTTCCCCTTTTCAATTTCTACCATCGAATTTTTGACCTTACTCCNTTACAAACTCTATTTCATTTCCCCTTTTCAATTTCTACCATCGAATTTTTGACCTTACTCCCGTGTTCCTTTTGGTTTTGTATATTCTCTTCTCGGTACACCACAACTCCATTACCACCAGTCTATACTGTGTAGTTACACTTTCGTCTGGTATAACTTTACAATCCTTTACTCGCTTTACGCTGTNTGTTAGGGGCTTGTTTAATAGTTGAGGATCTTGGTCAAAACCAAGAATCGGAAGCTACCCGACGTCTGCCCAAATATCGTCCCTATCTCCTTAAATGAGTTTTAATTGCCTGAAGGAGACACAGGCAATCGTGTACCTTAGTTACAGGGGATAGATTATTAAATAAAATTAGACTATTGTTTTATGTCAACGACAAAGTAAAGTTATATTTTAGATGTTTAGTAAATATAAGTTATATGTAATGTACAATACGTCTGACCTGAATCCTAGTACAGTTGGTTAGTAGGTATATCCAAGTGAGACGGAGTTGGTTGGCTATGATGACAATTGGCGATAGACGGGTCGTTGAATAAAACAAGTTAAGTTATAAATAATATAAATAAGACGTAAGTAATAATATTGAAAACTATGTCTATAACGGCCACTCAAACACAACTGCCCTTTGTTAGTTCGACGTCAGTAGCTCCGGACTACAGACGAGTAGAATTGTCACATCAGCATCTCCCCCTATGCTAATTAATATGTATTACGAATTAAATAAATAGAAATAAAACGTGTGTAATATAAGTGGTAAAAACATAGTAATAAATGTTCTTACAACGCTCTCTCTCTTCCACATAAAATAATCAATCTGTGATCTAATCCTTTCACTCTTTTATGTTATATAATGTTGTTCCCTCTTTGTAAATTAAGTATTAACCACAGCAAGATCATACAATATTGCGAAATTTCAGATTCCTTCTCCAGCCTCATTCTTTCCACTCAAATTATACTCAAAACCATTTATATACTAGACTTCCCTGAGTATATTATTTTATAACCGTCACCTATTTCCATCGATTTCTCTCCTTTCTACTTAGTTTCCTGCACAAAACAAATTTCAACTTTTCTCCTCTTCAACACTTCTACTAATTTTCTACTTTCACCTTTTACCTTTTTTACTTTTGTTAATGTTCCAACATTCCAATTACTTATTCTTACTTTGTATCTATCTTTTTTTTCCTCCCTCATACACGAGTCCAGCCTAGAATTAAGTGGTGATGTCTTTACACCGTTGACACTACAAGCGTTGGGTAGACCTGCACAAATGACTGGTGAAACAGCTACCGCACAAGTTGTCTGGCTGGTATCAAACACTTTATACCTTAGGCCTTCCGCTTTGAACTACTCTATTTCCTTTCATTTGTTGTCCCCATGTATATTCAAAATGGGACAATATGCTTAAGTTTTGTTCAGAACTTCTCATAAT